CTGATGCCTCCTGAGTTGCTCCTTTGTTGCTCCTGTTCAGAACACGTGATCTCTACATGCCACTGTCACGCGTGATCATCGTACCAGCTTGTGCACGAGTACGAGATCATGTCAGCGTCTCTTTCTGTTTTACCTCCTCCTACAATGTTCTTCTCTGTTGTTTCCTGAGTTCTTGCTCCTTGTTTTTTGTCTCTGTCTGATGAACAATAACCATTAAATAGTTTTCTGTTTTTATTTCCATGGCAATAAATCTAATTTGAGGTTTTTCACCCCTTTTGCTAACAATAATTTTCCTTGTGGCTCATTTTTCACTTTCAATATAAAGTCTATAGAAGCGACACAACCATGGCTAGACTTGGAAATATCTGGATTTTTTTTGGTATGTCAGTTAAAATGTCCTAAAATATAGAAAAACGAACAAGAGTTAAATTTCTTTGAATACTTCTTTTACAAAATTTGAAAACAAAACCTGCGATCCACACAGCAGCTGGTACCAACACTGGAGAAAAACAGGAGACTCTTCATACTGAACATGTTAATTAGCAGTTAGCTTTATAATTAGTTGTGCAAACACTGCCTGCAGTTCAGCCTGAAGTCTCTAAATTTGTTCTACATGACTTTTGGTCACAGCTAAGTCAGTCTTGGCTTCACAAATGTGCTGAGGAGGGCAGAATTTTATTATTTTTTGGAGTCTTATGACTATAATTGGTTTGTTTTTGCCTAATTTGTAAGTTAGACAAAGAGAATAAAGTGATTTTAACTAAATGTCCTGATTTTAAGCTCTGGTTTGGTTAATTTGATAAGTTATGGTGAGTTCAAAGACTGTCAGAACATGATAATGTGAGGATTTTTTCAGTTTTTACAATTTCTTGCTCTAGTAAATACTGTCTTTCTGCCTTTTTGTTTTCAAGGCAGCATGCCTTTCGCCCAGCTGGCAGGTTTTAGGGTTCAGAAGGTTGAATTTATTTATTTTTTCTTTATGCTTGGGAAAGATTTTATTTTTATAATCAGCATGATTTACAAAGGCCAAGGCTCATATCTATTTAAAGCGATAAACAAGAACAGTGTCACGGACGTCTGTCAGCAGCCTCGCCTGTGATGTTTTCTCTGCTGCTCGAGGACCTCTACGATAACAAATGTGCTCATTGCAGCAGCGTCGAAGCGCCAAGGACGAGTCAGCACTTTCATTTTAAAAAATGATATCAATATTTGGCAAATCTTGAAACAAATACGACCGAGTTCATCTGGCACTTTCTTCAAACCCACAAATACTTTCATGCAGAGCTGTTGGGAGCGCGCTGGCATAATGTGCGCTTGGCCTGTTTGCAAGGCAGCAGCAGCAGAGGTTTGGCAGCTGTGAAGAAAGAGACCATTCTTCTGCGCAGAGAAACTGGGATCCTCGTCCTCGCTGGAGAGGAAGGAAGCCGGGCGGGCGGCCTCGGGCGGAGAGGGAAAGACTGCGCTGGCGAGAGAGGAGGCCGCTGAAAGTCAGAGCGTGACAAAGTCGGAGAGCGACAAAGCGAGACAGAGCTGCAGTATGTTTCAAACAGGATGTGGAAACACCAATATCACACCTATAAGGCCTCTTTCAGACGGGGGATGCCGCTCCAATGGACTCGTAAAGCGGCCGCATTCTGTCAGTTTTACGCTTCGTTCAGACAAAACCACCAGTGATGGAGAAAACCACAGTGTGTGCACGATGTTTATGAGAGTGGACGGGGCATCCGGTAACGTTTACAGCATAACTTTCCCCAATGAGAATGAATGTGAACTAATAGCAGTTCATCAAACTGTCAGAAGAGCTAACAGCCCCGTTTATTTCTTATTTTCTAAACACTGAAAATTCAGTCCATGTGTGTTGATAATCAGCAGTGAAATAGAAAATGTCCTGACAGATGTGATGAAGACTGTAGATTATAAACTGTGACTCTTTGCTGTCACATCCTGATCCATCCTGTCTCCACGTCAGGGATCGTTTACAATTAGAAGTAATTAATAAAGTTAGTTCTGTAGTTCCACATGTGAACATACATGCAAAACTCCCTCTTCGAAGACGCTTATACAGTCGTCCTCAAATGTATTCACACCCTCCCATTAAAGAAGGAAAAACACAGCCGTCACTGGAATAAGCTGAAATTGACAAAAGTAATAATAAATAAAAATGTGTTGAAAATCCTGACGTTGCTTTTGAATTGTGGTTCGACAGATATATTTAAAAATAAATAAATAAAAAAACAAGCAAACAAGCATGATGGGACCTGTGAACTAGTATTTAATTGAACAACCCTTTGAGCCAATCAGGTGTTTTCTGTAACTCTCCATCAGACGTCTGCACCTGTTGACAGGTGTTTAGATTTCACTGCTCATCAGCAAAGTGCTCTAATTTGTCCGGAACATTTTTATTTTTTATTTTTTCAAATTTTTCTTTTAAACCACAATTCAAAAGCAACGTCTTATTTCACTAAATTATAATTTAGCAAATTTTTATTTATTATTACTTTTTTCAGTTTCTAGTTTTTTTTAGTGACTATTGTGAATTTTGCCTTTTCTTTAATGGAAGGGTCTGAATGCATTTGAGGACGACTGTATTTTAGCTTGTTATATGTTTAGCGTACATATTTTTTAGTATGTATATTTTTCAACTGTGTGTGTTTTCTTTAAATGAGGGTTTGAGAGAAATGCAGCTTCAGCTCTCTGTATGTCTACACATGTAGCAGAACTGACAACCAGGTAACTCTGACTTTGATCATCCTGATGCTGCAGGTGTTGAATAAACTCAGAGGAAATACTTCTGAACAACCGGAAGCGACAAACTAAACGTGAGCTTTTGTAAATGCTTCGTCAAACTTTGGCTTCATTAATTATTGGTGTTGTTATTTTGGGATGTTATAGTCTGATTTCATTGCTTGTAAAGTTGGATTTTTTTTTGATATTTCTGTTGCAAAAGATGTAAAATTGTGGAGCAAAGTGGATGAGAAATGCAGACAAACTGTCTTGTTTTTGGACCAATATCGAAGCTGAAATGTGCAAAAACTCTTGAAACGTGTTGCTTATGTTCCCCTGTCTGTGAATACAAAGTGATGCAAAAATGCAACCAGGTCCGACCTAATAGGTTTGCCGTCCCGTCTTTGGCATGAAAGTGAGCAGAATGTTCAATTAGACGTGGAGCCGACCCGCTCCGATCCCGTCAGATTAACAGAAAGCATTTTGTGTCTGTGGGTTTGTTCAGCGGTTCGTCCCTAAAGGTGCCAGACGGAGTTGAGTTCAGGTGCAGACCGGTCGAGTTCCTCCACAGCAAAATGAGCGTTGTGCACCGCTGCATTGTTGTGTAGGAACAGGAAAGGGACACGTACTAGCTGTTGACTCGCAGTGGGAAGAACCAACACAAGTGTAGAAGCCCACAGCAGATCTGAGCAGCGCCTCAAAGATGTTGACTTCCGTGTGAGAATCCTGCATCAGTTATATGACCTGATGCGACAAAAGCCAGCGTCCATTTACATTTCTGCATCGTAAAACCTTTTGTTTTTCCCTAGTGGTTAATGTTTAGCAAGGTTTAAAGTACAGCCAGGTATAATCACAATGCTCAGGTTACTCAACCGCAGTTTTTATGAGATTCTGAATAAACATCGAAGCTAATCATCTACTTTCTCCTTTTGTTGAGTCGCCTGCATGGAAATCCTCAGATGCATCGAATTTAGTTTGACTTACAGGTTTTGTGACTATTTTAAAGGCTAAAGTAATGATAGTGAAATACTCAGGAGTGGAAGAACCTCCAAGAGGAACCCTGAAAGGTTCCAGGGACACTGTGGAGGAGCAGAAGTTACTAAAGGAGCCGCTCAGGAAGGTTCTTCAAAGCATCAGCGTCAGTTTTGGTGTTTTACTTTGAACTTTTTATTGCAGTTATTATGATTATAGTGGAATATTTTTTACTCCCAAACATAAGAACAAGTATTAGACAATATTGTAGATGCTCCTAAAGAAAAGTTTGGCATCAATGTTGAGTCATTTGAGCAGAAATCTAACCCAAAATATACAAAACCAGTCTTTAAAACCTGCATTTAGTGGTAAAAGCTACATAATTTACAGCCAAAACTACTTTAATATAAAATGAAACAACTGATCCTGAGCTGTGATTCACCTCAAATAATGTTTTCTCTCTATAGTGTCTTAAAGAGACAATCTCTGCCACAGCAGCAACACTGGCTTCGTCTTCCAGACCCTGCAGAGAACCCCTAGATCCTGTCTTATTGTTCTGTTTCTAACAGACATATCGAGATGATTAAGAATGTTTTTTTCATGTTGGAGTAAAGTAAAGCATCATGATACAGTTATTCTGTGAAAGTAAAATGAACCAAACGGATCGTATTATATACGTACTGAAATGTACATAAATGCAATAAAAAAAACAAGCTTGCTTTATTTATTTTACTTATAAAAAACACAACTGCAGGTGCAAAGAGTCATTCAGACCCTCACCAAACTCTAGAAGAACTAAATGCTGCAGGAACCTACTTTAATAAGGTTCCTTAGAGGTTTCACCGGCAACATTTTCCCGGAACTGAGTTGTTCAATGTAAGTCATAAGCAAGATTTATTGAGTATCCCCAAATTTCCTTGAGGCTCTGCTGATTCTAAGAGAGCTGGCTTCGACTGCAGCATTTATTATATCATCGCTGTGATTCTGTAAAGTTGTGATTTCTTGTTCCTCCGGTGCTTTCTGCTATTTAGTATGAGACTAAGTAGAGCTTTAGATTAACATTTTAGATGGGCATCATCACTGTGTTGTTCTAACTTTCTACCAGAAAGCGAAAAAGTATATTTCCTAAATCTTTAAACTCTTCTTTTAATGACATTTTGTGCCATTTTTGTCAAATCTTGCGATGTTTAGAATTTAACCTGAGCAGGATTCTCTGTTGTTTCATGGTAGTCAAAGTGATAAATACAATTTTTCCCCCAAGAAATATCAGTTCTGAATGTCATTTTTTGTGTGTGTGTGTCTAGGTTTGAGAAGGGAAGGATCTACACCTACATCGGGGAGGTGGTGGTGTCCGTCAACCCGTACCGTGCCATGAACATCTACGGCCGGGACACCGTGGAGCAGTACAAGGGCCGCGAGCTGTACGAGCGGCCGCCGCACCTGTTCGCCATCGCAGACGCTGCTTACAAAGCCATGAAGAGGAGGAACAAAGACACTTGTATTGTCATCTCAGGTAACACAGGAAACCCCCCTCAGCTGCATGGGCCGGACAAAAAGAAAAGAAAAGAAAAAGCCCTGGACTGAATAATCCTCATTTAAACCACTTGTTTCCTGCACAGATTTGTTCCATTGTTTTCCATTCTATGCAGATGTTTTCTGTCCAGATTCTGAAAAACAATTCACCTTCACTTTCATGTGGACACAAGCTGTGTGGCAGGAAAAAAAACACACATGCAGAGGATGAAGCGCCACCCAGTGGTCAGAAGAGGAACTGAGCCCCTCGACTTCTCCTCTCATGAATCCAGCTGAATTACAGTTCAGGCGAATAATCAGTGTGAAATAAACTCAAACTGCCAATCAGGCTTCAGCTCTGGCTCTCAGTCGACAGCGCGACAACGTTTAAATGGCAGAATTTTAAAAAAAGAAGTGAAAAGATTGTGACTGTTCTGTTATTGAAACCACGAGCGGTTTCATTTGCAGGGAATGCAAACCGCCTGAAAATTACAGACGGCACAATTATTTGGGGTTATTTTGAGAAAATAAACCTCTTTGCACTGTGTTGTTTTTTTTTGTTTGCAGGGGAAAGTGGAGCAGGAAAGACAGAAGCCAGCAAGTATATAATGCAATACATTGCTGCCATCACCAATCCTAATCAGAGGGCTGAGGTTGAAAGGTGAGCTTTGTTTTATGTGCTTTGACCATCAGATTAGATAATATGACGTTCATGTCAGGAGAAAACTGTGTCATCCTCTAGCTTGTGACAGTCACAATACCTCTTTTTTTTTTTTATAATTAAACTTCCAATCAGACGACGCACCGAGGATCATTTTCGTTATCTTCACGGCTCTTGTGGGCAGAATAAGTCACCGCGGTGTTCCAGGAATCAATGCTGGCAGCAGCCAGAGGCTCTTAGATCACAGCGAGATTCAGTTACAGCTCAGTCAGTGTCACCGATAACTGAGTAGGTGTGTTCTGTTCCCGCAGATAAAGACGCCGTTGCACAATAACGCAGAATGATTATGTATCCGCGCGTTAGTCACCTGGATGGGAAAGCAGGCTCTGATGTAAAGTAGACAGAATGTGGGTCAGAGATAAAAGATAACATTTAGAGCTGGAAAAAGAACGGTTTTAAAGTGGACAGATTAAATGTTGATGATGACACATATGGAATCTAATGTGCACACAGTAAACACACATTAAACACAGTGCAGGAGAAGAACATCATTTCATAACATGTAGGTCAGGAACAGGTGGAGACTCACATCTTTTTGTCACCACACAATCACAAGTTTACTCCAGACTTGTTTCTTTTGTCCAAAACTAATGCGTTAAAATACAAAGTAGGTATGAAATAGGCTGTAAAATAGGTTGTAGGAGACAGACTGTGATTGAATTTATTTAAATCTTTATTGACAAAGTGTTTTTATGCCTATAAGGACGGTGACTGTGGGTCGAGGGTCTCTAATTACACACATGAAAAAACAAGGCAACAAAGCAGAAATAGATAACATGGATATATGATTAAGATATCTATGGATAAACACAGATATATGCTGTTTATATGAACAAATTCATGCTAGAAACAGATCAAACGGTTTATGTGCGGCGACAACTCATGACGGGACGCATTCATTAAAGCAGTGAATGTGTGCCGCCTTATTTAACAGGAATGTGTACATTTTCTTGTTATTTCTGACCATTTAATGGACAAAAATGCCTTGTAAGTTTAATTAAATGAAGTCCTAATCAGCAGAGAGATCTTTTTTTTATTCCTAATTTTGATTATTTGTATTTTCCTTCAGTTAAAACATTTTTTTTGTGGAAGCCCCAAAAATCCGTCTTTGCAGAAAACACAAAACAGAAACATTTATAGTATAAGCATATACATTAGAACGGATATATTCTGTCCATGTGAACAGATTAAACCGTTTTATCAGGGATCATAAGCCTTTGGTGGTGACTAAACACATCATCTTGTTATTTCTGACCATTAAATATAGAAAATTATCTGTTATGCTTGAATTATTGGCAAAAATTTTCTCATCATTTTAGTGCTGCTAGTTATTTAACAGATTTTTCTGCAGAACAGTTTTGGCTCAAACCTCTTTAGGGAGCATCAAAAACTCCTCTTTGCAGGAATCATCCTTAGACTGGACACACACAGGAGTTCTGAAATAAGAAGCTTCATGCATGCATGTCTGATTTTGCTTTAGTAGCACATGTGGCTCCACAGAGCAGCTCCTAATCACCACTTCACAGGAGGAGGCTGAACCCGATTGTTCACTTTTAATATCAATCCCACAGAGTGAAGAACATGCTGCTTAAATCTAACTGCGTCTTGGAGGCCTTCGGCAACGCCAAGACCAACCGCAACGACAACTCCAGCCGCTTCGGCAAATACATGGACATCAACTTCGACTTCAAGGGGGACCCCATCGGAGGCCACATCAGCAACTACCTGCTGGAGAAGGTAGGGTGGCGTCGAGCCGCAGACGGAAGGACAAAAAGGTGTCTCCATGAGCAGCTGATAATGAGTTTAAAGCTCAGTTCAGTGATTAGTGCGACAAACAACATCCTGATGTGTGTTTTGTATACATACAGTCCTGAGCCGCCAAGGTTAGCCAAAACCAAAGCGTGTTATCCTACATATGCATAGTTTATTTTTTTAGCTATTTAGCAGGTATGTTGTTCTGAGCATCCTGAAGAACTTGCTGGAGATCTCCAGTGGATTTAGATTGTGCTCATGTAATTCTAGACTCCATTATTTTGAGATCAGGAGAGAGAATTTATCAGCATTTCATCTGTTGGATTACTGTCATACGTTTACCTTTAGAGAGCAGAATCTAGAGGCTGAACAGCCCGTGATTTTTTTTAACAGAGACGTGGCTTTCAGACAATTGTTCTGTGACACTTTCCTGTTTTTTTGTTTTTTGTTGCAGTCCAGGGTGATCTTCCAGCAGGAAGGCGAGCGGAGCTTCCACTCCTTCTACCAGGTAAAAGACGCCTGTGTGTGTATTTGCATGCATCCATTGGCTTTGTTTGTTGAGGGGTTTACAGTCTGTGGTGCTGGGTTTCTACGAGTTGCTCACTGTTTTGTTGCTGCATGCACACATGGATGCACAAAATACCAAACCATGCCGACAGTCGCTTTCACACAGACATTGCAATATGATGCCACCTTCGCTGTGTTGCTCACTCAGACTGAAACAAACAAGTTTACACGGCGCTGCTGCAGTGTGGCTTTTAGGTAGCACGCTAACGTGATGCATAACACAACAGTGTCAGTGTCCAATGCGGTGTGTCTCGCTATTTGGGCTCGCTCTTCCACACAAATGTCGATTTCCACTTCTGGCTTAAAGGCGAAACAACATACCCCTCCATCTGTACCTTATGCACAGAGGACAAGAAGCAAAGCACCAGTCCATCCCAGCAAAGAGACAGACAGTCATGCACACTTTACAATCACCAACTAATCTAAAATGCATGTTTTAGAGGAAGCCAGAGCATGCACAGAGCTGCAAAGTGGAGTAAAAGTGCAACAACCCACCTTGAAGCAGCTTAAAATCTGTCACCGCAATGTGCCAGCAAACAGGAAGATGCTGCCAGCAAACTATCACAGATGTAAACGATGCCTAACGAGCATTAAAATCAGCTTTGCAGGAATGAAATTCACTGCACAGGTTTGTCAGACATCACGGATACACGGTGCATTTAGGATTCAGCAACGCCGGGCGTAAACACAACTTGAGTTTGTTTGCAGGGAAAACTCCACAGGGCCTCTTTCTAAAGCACTGAACTCACCAGCAGGATCATGAATCCCTGCAGCATCTCTGAGTCATCGGCAGACCTTTTGTTCCTTCATGTGGGAGGATAGCGAGTTGAAAATGAGGACGCGGTTGGTTTTGGATGTCGAGGTGTTGGAGAGAGGAGGGATTTTTTTATTTTTCTCCACAGATGCATCTAATTCATGCATGTCAAGGCTGCAGAATGCATGTTAAAGTGTCAGAAATGAACCAAAGTGTGCTTTTTGTCGTCCTCCAGCTGCTCAGAGGAGCTCCGGATTCCCTGCTGCGCTCTCTTCACATGCAGAAGGACCCGACAGCCTACAACTACATCAAAGTCGGAGGCCTGATTAAGGTGGTTTTACGTACATTCACATAAACGTTCCCGTGGTTCTGTAGCTAAACGTGCAACCGGCTTTTATTTATAGAACCGAATGCAGAGTGTGGAAAAAGTCTCAAAGAATGTAACATTAGGTTTGTTCGGATGAATCCAGCTGAATACTTTCAGATGTTGTGTTTCTTCACTAGAATTTACAAGATTTCGAAAGACACACATTTGGAGGAAAAGTAAAATAAGAAAAAGCTTTTCAGAGGAGCGAGCTGAGAAGTGTTTTCATTCAGAGCTCTGCCGTGTGGGGCCTAATAAGAGCAGAAACAAAACCGCTCGACGGCAACAAATCGCCTGACGTCATGGAGCACAAAGCTACCAAACAGCTGAGGTGGCGGTTTGTGTTTATCGCTGTTCAGTTTGTGATTTAATTAGCTGCTGAATTAGATCTCCTGGCTGGATTCATCAGAGGAGGAAGCAACAGGCTGCATCTCACGTTGGCTTCACTGCTTTTGTTTGTTGTGTCCTTCCAGTCATGTTGTTTTCATCCGTCTCTGCTTTCTCTCCTCCAGTCCAGCATCAACGACAACGCCGATTTCAAAGCCGTGGCCGACGCCATGAAAGTGATCGGCTTCACGGCGGACGAGGTTCAGACCGCGTACAGGATCCTGGCCACCATCCTGCATCTGGTAACGACAGTCAATAATCCCCGCTCACGTCCCAGAGAAACACACGATCTGAAGCTGCACCTGTTTTTTATTTTCATCACTGTGTGTCACCGTGTTCACCAGAAAAGCAGATTTAATCTTTTAAAGATGTCGCTTTGTTTTACGAGTCTGGTTCTGCTAATTCTGAGGAAGTCGCCTGAAAATAACGGTTTAATTTGTTGCTCAGATGGTCACATTTAGTCGCATTTGTTCTCGAAAACATCGTTCTTTTTATAGTTTAGGTTAAATTTCCACACTTTTGCATTAAACAAAAGGATAAATATCAATCACTGATTTTAAATAGTTTTACTTCTGCTCCATTAATTTTGTCCCACGTGTCCTCTTAATTCTTTTCAAGTGTTTTTGGCGCTTAATTGGCTTTATTAAAAAGAAGACTCTTTAAAGTCACTTTTTTAATCACATTAACGTGCCCATGTAGGGTTTTTATAAGCTGGAAGACTTGCACGGTGGGATTTTCATTGTTCTTCAGAAGCTTTTTCTGGTTCCAGCATGCACGTCTGAATCACTCCAGTTTCACAACTTTTGCATTTTCTAAAGGAGCAAAGGTTTAGAGTCGCATCGGAGACATTTTAAGGCAAGAATGGGGGAAAACACTTTAAATATGTAACTTTGATAGAAAGAGATATGACTTTAATCAGTATGAATAAGACTTCCTATCTGGGTTAGTCTGTCTGTCTGGTTGTGTTGTAGTGTAATGAGTTGTGAACACAGACATTAAAGCCACAGACATACATGGACATGAGGTCTGTTTTGGTGTTTGGGATGTTGGCAGGAGACTCTGTAGATCCAGTTTCCTTCAGGAGCTTCCTACAGATGCTTGGTCACGTTGGGTTTGGAGACTATAGTCAACATTTTGGGATCTTTTTTTGTGTTACGGAGCAGTTTTTATAGCGTGGCGGGGAGTGCTGTTGCTATTATGGGGTGTGCATTGTCTGCAGCAATGATAGATAGGTGATATCTAAAGTAACATCCACATGAATGTGAGGATTTAAGGTTTTATTCACTTTACCGGTCAGTGGTTTTACTATTGTGGTTGATTGTTTGCACATTTCCTGGAATCTTCCAATGAATTCATAGTTGTTTTTTCCTCCTAATTTATGATATAAAACTATGTGACCCATAGAATGTAGCATAAGAAGAACAGTCTTCTTCTACTGAATGTTAGGTCAGAAGATCAACGTTGCTCTTATGTTTGTACATTAAACATGGTTAGCATGCAGTAGCTTAGCTGAGAGCCTGCTTCCTGTAGCCATGCTAAGCTAACGGTGTGCTAGCTTCATATTCGAGGGTCATTTCAATATTTTGGGCCTCCTCAAGAAAAAAACATCCATCATGAGGGATATTTATGAAGGAGCTCTGATGCACAGCTGTGTCCTCGATGGCTCTTTTGCGGAACTCTTTTGCATCTGTGATATAATAATCAAAGGGCCGTGACACACAGCAGGAATATGCAAACCACGCCGGTGGCAGGATTGACTTGTGTTTGCATATATCACTCCATCATCATATTTTACTGTCACTTTGTTTGCGTGCTGCTCTTTTGTGTGTCTTTCATACTTCGCATAAGAAACTTTGGCATCTTGATTTAAGTTATACATTTTTCATGAAAGCCGTCCTGCTCGTCAGACAGAAATCATACAACACGGTGGCAGGCTGTAAAGAACAAAAAACAATGGATGGATCATGTTTAATTGACGTGGCTTTAAGAAAGCAGCAGCTCTGCACAAAGATGCGTCATTCTCGCCTCCTCCTCTGCACGTACAGCGCTGCCCACTTCATGTCACACCGCTTTCTGGAATATCCTGTTTATAATCATCAAATATTGAATCATTTCCTATTTAACCTATAGTACAACAACCTGTTTATTGGCATAGAATAATGTCATAATCCAGTTTTTTGTCGTAACAAAATTCCCCAAAATTGATTGACTTTTGCTCGTTTAAAGTCATGGTTGGATGATCGAGCGTCGGCCATGCGTGGCAGATTATCACCTGCCGTGGAAGGCAATGAGTTTGTTTGTCAATGACCTGCTCACCTGAGATCTGATCACTGAGTCATTCACACACTGTTTGACATTAATTAGGGCACATCACAGAGAATTGTTGCAGAGCATGTCGTCAGTCATACCTGAACTGCTCAGCTGGTTAATCATGATAAGTTAATCCTGTGTGCACCCTCTGATGAAAGGAAACAACTTTTATTGATGGGGTGACTTTTCGTACCGACCAAAGGTGAAATTTCACTGAAGCAAAACCATAAAACTCTGTTTGAATAAATATTTCTTGAGCTTTAAAGAAACATTTCCATTTCAGCTTTGCATATAAACCCCCATTTTTCATCACACAAACATAATTGTCTCAGCGCTCTATTGTTGCGAACACTTTGATACGCTAGTCTTGAAGCCCGCTTATTGGAATATCCCGGATATAGTCATAATACCATCCTGGACCGAGGGTGTGATAATAAACGGCAGCAGTGTAGATGTGACAGGAAGGAACTAAGGTCTTGTCCACACATAGCAGAGTTAGGATTAGGATTTAGGACATTTTTGCAACTCTGAATCCAAAAATGACATCTGCTTTTCTGTATCAGGTCAGGTTTTTATGCCAACTCGATTTTAAAAAAATCATTTTTACCACTAAATCGATTACATGATATTGATGACATGATTGATATTGAATGACTGATATTAGCGATTGATTTATTTTAGTATTTCTCATATGAAATCAGATTTTAGAGGAAAGTTTTCATTTTCTAATCCTTTTCATGAGCTAAATGATCCAAAAGTTGATGAGCGTAAACATGTGTAAAGGTAAATACAAGTAAATTGCATGTTTGATCAAATCAACATTTTGACCTCATTGAGCAAAACCAATGTCATATTTGCATTCAGCACATTGCAACTGTCCAAAATCAACAAAATCAGCTGTGTTCTTGTACGTGGAGCGGTATCTGGGCTTGTGAAAACAAGAAAGCAAAAAGCGCCAGGACCAGAGATAACACAGTTTTGAGGGCATCCACGCTGTTTCCCAATGTAACACAGGTCGCACATGTGAGAACATATTTTGTCGCAGGTGGTGATATTTCTAAACCTAAGACCCGGTTATTGACGTCCACATGCAGACGCATAAACGGAGGATTCGCAAATCTTCACTTTGGTCGGAGGTTTGTTTGTTTGTTTTTTTTTAAACTTTTTATTTCCAAAGAGATGGATACAGGAAAAAGTACGTTGGTACAAAAAGTGCCAGACACCAACCACTCTTTGACCTTTTTTTTTTTTTTAAATATATATATTTTTTTGGGCTTTTGCCTTTAGTTAGCGCAGTGGAGAGAGACAGGAAAGGGGGGAGAAGAGTGAGGGAGAGACCTGCAGCAAAGGGTCGTGAGCGGGATTCGAACTCACAACCGCTGCGTTGGGGACTGTAGCCCCTGTTCATGGGTCACCCGGTCAACCAGGTGAGCTATACGGGCGCCCCTCTTTGACTTTTTTTTAAACACAAAAACAAACAAACAAACAAAACCAACAAAACAAAACACTGAACAAATGTGGAGAGATAAATGCCCTGCACAGTGAATTCTAAATACCAAAAACAAGACAAATACAAAACACAAAGGGGACAGAGAATTGTGTTACATATTATTTGTACTTGAGCTCCGCAAAATCTGGGCGTAAAGGCTTCACGTATCTGACCCACTTACTCCATAGTTTAACAAAAGTGGCCTTTCCAAGGCAAACAGAAAATGTAACAGATTCCATTATATACATTTCGTACACTATGTTTATCCATTCAGACATTGTGGGGAGCTCAGGAAGGAGCCAGCGTCTTGTGATTGCCTTCTTGGCAGCCACTGTCAAAATCGCAAAAGGTCTTTATTTAGTCCAAATTATTAAATGTCCCAGAAATATTGTAGAGAACGAATGGTGTGTTTTTTTTTAATGCTGTAAATCTGTGTTTTCGTTTGGATGACAGGCCACATCGTAGAAAAAAATAAAATCTTCGTTTTGTGAGATACGCTGCTACGTGTGGACGAGGCCTAAGACACGAGGAGAGGAGTCGAGGAAAGGAAGCGAGGGTGTACAAGCTGAGAAATGAGGTGTAGAGGTGTGATGATTAAATTCTCCGTAATCTGCCCTCCATCTTTAGGGCAACCTGACGTTCGGCGTGGACGGCGACGTGACCCTGATCGAGAACACAAAGCTGGTGTCGGTGATCCGGGACCTGCTGTCCACCAAAGAGGAGAACGTGGAGAAGGCGCTGCTCTACCGGACCGTGGCCACGGGTCGGGACGTCATCGAGAAGCAGCACACGACGCAGGAGGCCAGCTACGGCCGGGACGCCCTCGCAAAGGTCAACACGTAAAACCGCCTCTTTAGTCAGAGCTGCACAGCACAAACGCAGGGTTGTGACATTTCACTCTGCGATATTATTTCACTGCGATTCACACTCGCATGAGTCACCGTGTTGTGACTCCAGACGGGCCGGAGACGGCGGAGGATGAAATACATGTAGGCAGCTGCGAGACTCGCGCTGTGGGCCGCGAACAAAGTCTGACTCACTGCTAGTTTGACATTTAGCCTTCTGGAGCTGCTAATTGCTCGTGAGCTCGGCTGCTCGGTGCCCTTGAGCAAAGCGCCGGTTCTTCCCTCGCTCACGCTTCCGTTGTCGTCCCCAGGCCATGTACGAGCGTCTGTTCTGCTGGATCGTGGGCCGAATCAACGACATCATCGAGGTGAAGAACTACGACGCCCGAGTGCACGGGAAGAACACGGTCATCGGGGTGCTGGACATCTACGGCTTTGAGATTTTCCAGAACAACAGGTGTGAATTAGACAAAATATCAACCAAAACTAAAAATAAAAAGTGCTTTTCATGTAGAATATCTGTACTTTGAACGCTTCGTGTCATTTCAGTGTTGGATTTTATTGGTTGTAACTCACAATAAGGGTCAGAACAGTTATGTGTGTGGTTGCATCTATAACAGAATCTCATTTTGTTGCGTAGCTTCGAACAGTTCTGCATCAACTACTGCAACGAGAAGCTGCAGCAGCTCTTCATCCAGCTGGTGCTGAAGCAGGAACAGGAGGAGTATCAGAGGGAAGGCATCCCCTGGAAACATGTATGAAAATCTCTTTTTTTTTTGTTCCTACTTTGTTTAATTTATTCAAATAAAGTAGAAGAATGTTTTACAGATTTACAAAAATACTTTTAATCTGATTATAACTTATTGCTGTTGTTGTAGTTTCAGAAAAAGCATTTCGACGTGCTTCATTTAAAGACCCCATATAATGCACATTTACAGATTCATACTTGCATTTTTTTCAAGTCTTTTAGAATATGTTTACATTCTTTAATGTTAAAAAAAAGAATCATTATTTTTCTTATTTCTGCAGCAGGGCCACTTTTCCAAAGAGCCTAGTGGGCTCTGATTGGCCGTTTAAAGCTTGTTGCTAAGCAGATTATGCAAATGTGTTACATGATGATGTCACTAAGTTACAGAAAAAAAAAACTGGACTTGAAATGAAGTGTTTCAGGCAGGAAAGAGTGTTTTCTGTGTGAAAAAAAATAACTCCCTTTGGTGTGATTTCGTAAGTTTTTTTTAAAGACCTTTTAAATGCACAGAAAATACAATAAAACAACTGGAAACCGAAAAGCATAATATGGGCTCTTTAATGTTCCACAGATTAACTTTTCATCTGCTGTGTTGCGAGCACAAGCACATACAAACTGCACACATTGATTTTAAAAAGCAAAAGTCTGTATAAAGTATGTAGAAGTTCAAAGGTTTAGAAGAAATGTCAAATAACTGCGTTCCAAAATAAGCTGTTTGGAGAAAAAAAATTTAAAAATCACATTAAACAATGATTTAGTGGAAAGTTGAGGCATCTGCTGCTTCGTAAAGTAAAATAGGGCAGCTTGACAAAAATAAATTCTCGTCACAAGGTCAACTCAACAACTCGATGTACTGACGAAGGACTTATTTAAAGCTTTGGAGGCAACAAATGAGTCAGACCTTGTGTTTTAGAGTTGTTTTTGTCGAGCCTCTGTTCCTCTCTGCTCCTGCAAAACAAACTAAATAAATCCAACAAGTGCACGTTCATGAGGTGTTTCTTGAGAACTCTCGTCTTTTGTCATTAGATCGATTACTTCAACAACCAGATCATCGTGGACCTGGTGGAGCAGCAGCACAAAGGGATCTTCTCGGTGCTGGACGAAGCCTGCATGAATGTGGGAAAAGTCACCGATGAGGTTTTTCTCCAAGGACTCAACGGCAAACTGGCCAAACACGCCCACTACACCAGCCGCAAGGTAGGAAGAGCTAAACGCAGGCTGTGCTTAACGTCGTCATGTTTTTAGGAGCCAATGTCTTCAGTTTTGGCAGAAACGTCCCCGTTAACTCAGTCTGATTCATTTTGGTCCTCAAAGGTCACTGTGACCTCACAAATCACAGTTTTGTGTAATTTCACACAAACGTGTATTAGAATGAAATGATGAAGGGGTGACATTTCCTCTCCTAAAGGTCAGCTTCAGAGTAGCATCATAATGTTCTGCAAAAAGAAAAAAACACATTTCTGGCTCTTATTCAAAGCCTTCAGTCGGGAGCAGAAGCAGAGGAGTTTCTCATTTAGTCACATACAGAACTGGTGTCACTCATCCTGAATCTGTGCCGGGTTAAAGATGTCATCCGAGTTTTAGTATATGCAGCTTTGTTGCAGCGACACCGACATCTCAAGCATCGTCTACTGTTACGACAACATCACAGCTAACGGGCATGTGGAGACATAGAAGGAATTTCCCCTCCAATCTCTGAATGGCTGCATCCCAGAGATGTACCGATTTCAACAAAATCAGAAGAAAATAAAGGCAAAAAGGAAGATCCTTCATAGTATACCTTTAATGATCTAAGTAATTTATCGAGTAAATATGGTTGTAGCCTCTCAGAGTAAATTTTCTGTGTGTCCTTGTCTTAACACTGCAGTAAAATAGAATGCGTTTGTAGAGTTAATCAGACAAAACAGAAGATTTGATGACATCGCCTTTGTAATTCCACTATTTTCTGACATCGTATTTCATAATAAAATTATCCCAAATGGATTAATCCTAACAGAAATAGCATATCGATTAGTAATAACAATGATAGTTTGTCGCTGCTCTCGATTTTTCCTCTCATCCTCAAACCTGCCAAGATGTTTGAAGGTATGTTGACATCATTTATCAGAGCCAGAAACTATAAAAAAACAGAAAGAATAGTCAGATTTTCAACTCTGCAATGGTTCTAATGGTGTGTAATGTGCCCGTTTGTTCGGAAAATTAACAGAACCTAAGCTTAAAATTGTAATATTAAGTTAAATTACTGTATTCTACATGCTTCATTAAAAAAAAAAGCAAAAAATAAAACTTTTGCTCTAACTGGATTCTGTAAAAAAACTAAAATTCTGCACTTCTTGCTGCAAATAACAAACTCTGAGTGACTCAGCTGTGACCAACAGCGACGTGACAAAAATTCAGAGAAGTTTCAACCAAACTAGGCTGAACTGCAGGCTGTGTTTACAGAAAGCTGATATCTGGCAAGTGTGGAAACAAATTTTAAAAGTAGATATGTTATTTATAGAGCTGCTGTTTTTTTGTTTTTTTTAAAATCCAGTTTGGTGACACCTGTGGGCACAAATTTAACTTTTTTTCCTTTTTTTTTTTTTTTTTTGAACAATGTGTGGCGTTCTAACTTTGTTAAACTGCACAAAAAGGCATTTCTGAGTTCTTGTTTTGTTTCCATAGAGGTTCAGGACTTTGTATTTCAGTCCACAGTGAGTAAAAAAATGGAGCAAAAACCACCCAGAAGCTGTTTGGGGTTCAGATAGTTAAAGTGGAACGTAAAAGTTTTTTTTAAATCAAAGATTCCTGCCATAATTTGCAAACAGGAAACTATTGGACAAGCCTTAATGTACAACCTGGAGCTGGTGATGAAGCCCGATGTGGCTGCAGTAACCTGAGAACAGCAGAGGGCAGATTACACCCTGCAGTAAGTAGCTATTAGTGCCGGAGGAAGAGCCCGAACATGATCCTGTTAGTTTTAATAATCAGGAAGGCTCACCGTCTAATTCACTCTAATGGCCTGAGCGGGCTGCGGGACCAAAACGTAAGCCAATTTAATTTGCTAACATCCACGTTGGACGAGGTGAAAGTGACTCTGAGAGTTTGTGGCGACACGCGGAGAGGATGTCGATGAGTGAATCAGAGTTTTCATTCAGGAGGAGCGCTGCAGTTCTCTGTGTTGCCCACGAGGGGGCGACAGCTGTCAGAGAAAGATGGCGGGGAGAGTCTGACTCAACACTTTGCACAGGTGATGTCACTGGCAGCCAATGGGAGCGAGGGGAGCTGCTGCCGAGAATAAGTAGGTGGTGGGAAGCGGAGGATATGTATTTACAAATTTATGAGGAGAGCCATGCAGGGAGAACCAGGAGAGGCTGGTGCAGTGAAAACCCACCGGGGAGGGGAAACATCTGGACGCACCTCTGGGCTGCCCAAAGCAACAGGCTGCAAAAGGCAGGAAGTGTCCGTGTGATGCACAGATTATAGATCTGGTGCTCGTTACGGCGAACAAAAGGCCACGATGACGAGGTGAGCTGAGAGCCCAGCGAGGCCGAGTCCAGACCAGCTGAAGGCTGCTGCAGGCCGCATCGATCCGTGCAGCTTCCCTCCCTCCTATCATCTCTGAGTCGATATCCTCCCTCCTGCCACCTCCTCTCCTCCCCGCTCCTCCCCGACTCCTGAGTTTCATGTGAAATGGAGGCTTTAGAAAGCAGAGCGATCCAGCTGTTACTTCCTGGAACCAATACTGGCGTAAATCAATATTAGCCCGGGATCTTTGTTTTTCTTTTTAAATTTCTCCTTCCTGTGCTGTCTGGAGTCCTGTTGCCAGGCAGCATTAACATAATGGACTTTTTTTTTTTTTGTCAGGAAGTAGCAGGAGTTTAGTGGATCTCAGGGGCATTTGTTTAATTTTTGGATAATAGTTACCTTTTAGATGAACATTAATCTGCCCAGAGTGTTTCAGAGGCAGAAGAGATTATCTGCCAACTATTGTGATTTAAGTGAAATTTTAAAAACCTGCTCTCGAGTTAAATGTACTGCAGCGTATTTCTGAATATAGATGGATTGAAATGTGCTTTATTGACATTTGATATATAACATGCATTAATCTGGTTGGAAGCAGATGGAAGACATTTTTCCGTGTTTATATTTGGTCACTTCTCCTATGAAGATATGACATTAATTGATTAATCGTCAAATATTCAAGTATTGAGCTAGTATTTAGATAACCAGTTGGTTTTTTTAAGCATTTTTTTTAAAAGAAAAAAAGTAAAACTCTAGCGTCTTACAGGTGAATATCTTCTGGTTTCTTTCCTCCTCTTCGGCAGTAAATTGAATATCTTTGGGTTTTGGACCAAACACAACATTTTATCTTGATCTTTGAGAAACACTAATCAACATTTTTCACCATTTTCTGCCAACAAACAACTAATTAATGAATAGAGAACATGAACAGCAATCAAAATATCCATTTGTTGCAGCTCTAGAAGTCATTTGCAGCCCATAAATAATAAATATAGAAAGGCTTAAGCAACATTCGTGGCATTGCTTACATTTTTTGCAGCAAATACTACAAGAAATTTGAGAAATTTGTCTTTTTTTTAAAGAAACAAAAAAGCTGATTTCAACTCCTTAAATAAGAACTGTAAACTGAGAGAAGTTCAGGTTGATTGTTTGGTTAATTAGGCAATTAGACATTGAGTTGTCAGCACCACCTACTGGTCAGAGCAATAGTTGCAGTGTTTTTCACAGCCTGTCATGTATTTATGCTACAAATTGATAGCTATTTGTTATTATTATTATTATTATTATTAGTATCATTTAGATCAGTGGGCATTAAGCTCCCATTATCATCACACATATTACCAGAAAGAGTCATACCACCAGTAAACATGTACAGTATGAGAAGACATGTTCTGTATTTGAAAAATCACCAAAATTACACCATTAATCGGAGCCAGTAGCTAAAAACTGAGAGAAACATCAGACTTATATGATCCTTTCCATACTTATCTCACTATTTGGGAAAATTAACACCATTTAGACTAAAACTTGTGATATTTCATCAAGTCACTTTTGTATTTTTACATGTCTCATGTAAGAAATGTCAATAAATATACGTTTGCACTGGATTCATTAGAAAAAACAAGAAAGAAATTATGCTTCTGAAGCCTGTTGAGGAGCAGAGGAGGTGAAAGCAGTTTCCATATTCATAAATTTAATATTCAAGAAAATCCAATCTTTCCATAAGGTATAATAACCTTTGTTTTTAAGTTTTAAAAACATATGTGAGGTTTATTTAGGATAGCTTTGTAAATTTAAGAAAAAGATGAGAAATTGCCTCTAAAAACACAACAAGAAACATGATAAAAATAAAAATGAAGACACAACAAAGCAGCAAAAGCTCATCAGTTCTGGGTTCATCAAGCAAAACAAAAGCTTTATGAGTTACCTTCAATGTGATAAATCTGTTCCATGACATATGTAGATCAAAATATTAATTATTCTTGAGTCTAATTTCACACATTTCCTTTTTATTTAATTCAGCTTTACCACCTGTGTTGATACTTTTAGCTTGATTTTGTTTATTTTCACTTTTCTGAAAATACATTTTTAAAAAAGCCAAATCCTTCCTTTTATTGCACTTATTTATAATTTGGATTTTCAGATATATTTTAATTTAAGGAGCCGAGAAAAGCTTTCTGACTCACTTTCACTCCAAGAAAAAGCAGAGAAAGAAACACTCTCGCTGCATATTACCGTGACCCGAAATAGACTTCCTAACCCGCACTCCACATGCAAATGAGCTTCTGGGAAAGTTCAGAAAATATCAAGGCTTGGAGGGTACGAAGTGCACGAGAGCTCCGCCGACTTTAAAGACCCGGCCAGCCGGCACTCGGAGCCTCGCAGTTCCTCAAATCTGTTTGCCAGGATGAAAGTGTGAAGGTTGGAAAAAGAAAGAAGTGTGACAGAGAGAGAAAGGAGAGGAAAGAGAAGGAGAGTGACAATTAAAGGTGAATCAAGGGAGAGAAAAGAGAGCAAGAAGTAGAAAGGTTGCATGAAAGCAGCAAGAACTATAGATACAGGACAGGATTTTTAATTCAGCATCTCTTATTTTAATATGTATTTATGCTTTTGCTTCATTTTCTGGTCACTGATCTACCTTCAATAAGCTCATTTGCAGCTTTTAGATTACCTGTCCAACATAAAAAAAAGAC